GGGTGAATGTTTCCCCCAAAGAGCGGCGGGTTTGGGGGCGCGGGGTGCGGGAGGAGAGCGCGATTTGCGCGGAACGCGGAGAGGAGACACCGCGGGCTGAGCCCCGGCCCCAGAGCCGCGCTGGAGCTGCGGAACGCAATTAAAATAATTAAAATCCGAGCGGCTTTATTGCTACCCGACGTCAGCTTCACTTGGGACTCGGGGAGAGCGAAAAAAAATCACAATGAGAGCGCTGCGCTCTGCGCTGCCTCCGCTCCTCCATTCTTAATTTTTCTTTTCTCCTCCTTTCTTTTTTTTTTTTTTTTTGTTCCTTCCCCCTCCTTTTTTTCATTGTTTATTTTTGGTGGTTGTTGTTTTGGTTTGTTTTATTTTTTTTTTTATTCCCAAGGCTGATTTTCAGGTTTCCTCGAAGGAAAAACCCAAAAAAACACCCACGCACCCAAACGCCCCCGGAGAGCGGCGCGGAACGCGAGCGGAAACTCCGCCAAAAGCCCCGCGCCCGCCTCGAGACGCGAAACCGGCACCGGGGGGAGGGAAAATAAACCCAAAACAAACCCAAAACAAACCCAAAACAAACCCAAAACAAACCCAAAAGCGACGAAACCGAACGCGACAAGTGCCCGCAAAGGGCTCCGAGCGCTGCCCAGGCTGCTGCTCCAGGTGACCTCCCCCGGCTCCTGCTCATTCACCTTTTCCTTCCCATTTTCCATTCCTTTCCTTCATTTTTCCTCCCTTTTTCTTTCCTCATTCTATTTTTCCTTTTTTTCTTTCATTGTTCCTTTTTTCCTCCCCTCGCTCTCTTCCTTTCCTTTTTTTTTCCACCTTTATTTCTCTCGCCCTCCTCTCCATTATTTTTTTTTCCCTTTTTTTTTTCCCCCCCCCCACCTTCATTTCTCTCTTTTCCTCGCCTCCAATCCCGCTTTTTTTCCAGCTGGAGCAGATTTCCGAAGCCTTTCGTTCCTCTCCCTTCTTCATCACCCCACCCTTTTCTCCATTCCCCCCTTCCACCGCCTCCTCCCCAGGCAGGAGATGGGCACGAAACGCGAAAAAAAGAAAAAGCAGCAGCTCGACAAATCCATCTTTGCATTGAAATCATTAAAATTACATATCTATATATTTACATATATAATAATAAAGGAAGCAGAGGCATCGCGCCCTTACCTTTCGCCGTCCTGTCGCGTGGCACGGGGGGGAATTTCGGGCGGGCAGAGATAAGGCTGCGCTTATCTGGCGGCCGCCAAGCCTCGTCCCGACCTGAGCGCCGCCCGCCGCCCCTCGGGCTCCTCGGGGCCGCTTTTCGCATTTTTGTGTGGAAAAAGGAGCGGAAATCGCCCGCGGTGCCGCAGAATCCGCTCGGCCCTTCCGAGACCCCCCAAAAGCAGCGGGGAAAACTCGGGGTGGGGATTAAAAAATATTTTAAAAAATTAGAAAAAAATTTTAAAATTAGAAAAAAATAATATTAAAAATAGCGGGGGAAATCGCGGTGATAATCGGGGAATAAAAAGCAAAAGGCGCTGCGGGTTTTGGGATGCGGGAGCCGAGGGGGGAGCCCGGGGGTGCGAGCGGCTCGGGCGGCCCCCCCGCCCCCCGGCCCCGCTCCGCGCACGCAAAACCAAAAAAACGCAAAGAGAGAGGGCGAGAGCCCTACGGAGGACACTGATCCGACCCAAGGTGCAGCGGACAGAAGAATGGTGCAATATAACCACATGGGAAATAATAAAAAGTTCATGTTCACGGTTAGCAGTCCACATGACCGGCCCTGGCCAATCCCAGAACCCAGCCACTCATAAAGTTCTATCACAAAGTTGTAAATTTTCATAAAACAACAAGGAATTTATTGCATTTCTTCATGACCGGTTTAACAGCAGTCTTTTTCTTAGCCGCCATCTTTTTTTTTTTTTTTTTTTTTTCTCTTTAACACGAAAAATATATTTTTTAAAAATTACCCAAAAAAAAAGGGGGTCGGGGATTTTTAATTTTTTTTTTTCATTTTTTCACCCCGCTCACCCCACCCTTGGCTTGGATATGGGGGGGTTGGGGATTAAAAAAATGCAATAACGCCTGAAATTCGCGAACAATAAAACCCCCCCAGAATAAAGAGCTGCGGCTTTGGGAGGGATGGAATCGGGGACGGGCGCAGTAAAACAGCGGGGTTCGCGATTTTGGGCTCATTTCCCTTTTTTTTGGGTCACAATTGGCACCTTGGGGGCTCCAAGGGGCTGAAAGGAGCCTGGGGGGGTGGAATAAAGGCGGAAAAAGCGCGGGATCGGCGCTCGGGGGGCTGCGAACCCCCGGGACCCCGCCCCGTGTCCCCGGTGTCCCCACGCTGTCCCCAGGGCGGATTTCGGGGTGTCCCGGCCGCCCCTTTGCCCTTTTCCCCTGGAATTGGCCTCAATTCCCGCTCGCCCGGGGAGGGGGGGCGGCTCTGGGAGCAGCAGAGGGGGCAGAAAATTCTGGAATCTCTTAATTTTCTATTTATTTCACCCCCGCACCCCGACCTGGCTCTGCACCCAGCGGAAAAAAGGGATTTTTGCAGGATTTTCCCTGGATTTTCCTTGGATTTCCCCCCTGATTTTCCCTCGATTTTTCCCTGATTTTCCCCCCGATTTTCCCTTGATTCCCTCCCTGATTTTCCCCCGGATTTTCCCCATCCAGGCGGGAATTCGGGGGGGAAAGCGGGCGAGCGGATCCTTTATTAATTACGGGATTTCCATAATTAGGGCCGGCAGCGAATCGGGGCGCGCGCGGCTCCCTGACTTGGCGCCGGATTTTGGGGATAAAAAATGAAATTTAAAAATAAAATGTGCCCGGGGGTGTGGGAGGTGGGGAAGGAGCCAGGGGAGGAAGAGGAAGAGGAAGAGGAAGGTGCGGGGCTGCCACCGCCAGCTCCTCCCCGAGCTCCCTGAATTCTGGGTTCATTTTGCTTATTTTATTATTATTTCTATTTTTTATTTATTTTTTAAAAAATCCCCTTCCCTGCGCATCTCGCCCAGTAAAATCCCGCGGAGCCTCCGCGCCTTTATGCGCAGCGGAAATAAATAAATAAATTAAAAATAAATAAATAAATAAAATAAAATTTAAAAAAGGCGGGGAGGGTGAGAGCACGGCCGAGGCGCAAGGGCTTAATTTGAAATTTCCTCGCCTTTTGTTTTGCCTTGTTGATTTTTTAAATTTCTTTTTTTTTTTTTTTCCCTTTCTCTCTTCTCCTCCTTCCCCCCTCGCGCGCGTTTTAATTGCTTTAATTTATTTTATGCGCGCTTTGGCGCTCGCCGTTATTTGGTGCTAATGAAAGAGTTCCAGTCCGCACTAAAGCGATTGAAGGGCGGAGGGAGAACCTTAAAAAAGAAAATAATAAATAAATAAAATGGCCAAAGGCGCGGCGGAATGGATCGGAGAGGAAGAGAACTGAAGCGAGGAGCGGGGAGATTATTTGGGGCCATTCGGGGTTCTTTAAATTCCTCTTTTTTTTTTTCAATTCCTTTTTCTTTTTTTCCTTAAATTCCTTTTTTTTTCCTTAAATTCCTTTTTTTTTCTTTAAATTCCTTTTTTCCTCTTTAAATTCCTTTTTTCCCCTTTAAATTCCTTATTTTTTCCTTTAAATTCCTTATTTTTTCCTTTAAATTCCTTTTTTTTTCCCCCCTCAGGAATAACCCAGCGCAAGCGCAGAGGGGACAGAGCCCAGCCCGCGCTTCCAGAGCCCCGAAAATCAATTTTTTGCTCAGGATTTTCCCCAAATCTACGGAAAACCACCCAGATCTCCGATGGATCGGCTGTGCCAAAGCAAAGAGAGAAATTTGGGTGGTGACCCGGGGAAAAAGGAAATTTCATCACCTTCATTCCAAAAAATGTGAGGGTTTTTTTTGTGTTTAATGAGGGAGGCACCCGAGGCGCTGCGGATTGTTGGAGATCTCCTTTTTATTTCGAAGAATAATAATCACAGACGAAGGAAAATAATATTAATAATAATAATAATTATTAATAACAAAAAAAAAGCAACGCGCCGCCATTAAATAATTTGCTACTTCGATATACAACATTTGACGTGGCACAATATTAATTCCTCTGCTTTTTTCTCTCTTTTTTAAAAATTACTTTTAATTTTTTTCCCCCTCTTATAGAACGACGGAGGTAAAAATGTCCACAGACAAAAGAGCATCGCAAGGAGAAGAGAAAACCGCAGAGGATCCGGGGAGGAAGGAGGAATAATAATAATTCATATTATGTACAGGACTCTACGCGCTAAATGTGATTTGCATTGGGGCTTTCGGGTCACATTTTCTAAATTAAAGGTGCTAAACACGACCACGTTACTTCATAACCCCCCAAAAAAACCCCCAGTACACGGCCAAGTACAAATGACAGCGATTTACAAATTACTGCTGCTAGAGGGAGGCTCACACGGGAAAAACGCGACTCTAAAGCCACACGGAATAGGTAGATATTCTACTGTACAGAAAGGAAATAAAATAACCCAAAAAAAAAGAAAGCCACACGGAATAGGTAGATATTCTACTGTACAGAAAGGAAATAAAATAACCCCAAAAAAAGAAAGCCACACGGAATAGGTAGATATTCTACTGTACAGAAAGGAAATAAAATAACCCCAAAAAAAAAGAAAGCCACACGGAATAGGTAGATATTCTACTGTACAGAAAGGAAATAAAATAACCCCAAAAAAAGAAAGCCACACGGAATAGGTAGATATTCTATTGTACAAAAAGGAACAAAAGAATAACCCCAAAAAAAGAAAGCCACACGGAACAGGTAGATATTCTATTGTACAAAAAGGAAATAAAAGTAACCCAAAAAATGAGGCTCTAACATAGGTAGTATTTTTATCTCAGTGTCATCAACACAACTATCGCTCCTAGGGGTTTCGCTATCGGTGCGTTATCATTTATTTTTATACATAGTCCTTTTTTTGTGTGTGTTTTTAACGCGTGTTTTCGCGTTTTTCGCGTTTTTCGCGTTTTGCCCTCCTCTCGCTTCCTGCATCCACCTCACTCCTCCTCGTCCTCCTCGGCCTCTGCCTTTTCCTGGCCGGCCGAGCCGGGCCCGGCGCTTTTGTTCTCCTTTTTCCACTTCATCCTCCGGTTCTGGAACCAGATTTTGATCTGGCGCTCGGTCAGGCACAGCGAGTGCGCGATCTCGATGCGGCGCCGCCGGGTCAGGTAGCGGTTGTAGTGGAATTCCTTCTCCAGCTCCAGCGTCTGGTACCGCGTGTACGTCTGGCGGCCGCGCTTTCTGTCCGTCCCTGCCGGATAAACCGAATAAACGCACATTTGGGTCACCTCGGGCCGTTTTGGTGGCACTTCATTCTTTCTTTCTTTTTTTTTTTTTTTGGCACAGCCCAAAATTTCCCCTCTTTGTGCCACCCAACATCACAGCCTAGGCCAGATTTTCCTTTAATTTTCAGGAATAATTTTCCTTTATTTTTTTTCCTGCTTTTCCCCGCCGTTGCAGCCCCCCCCCCTCCAAACATCCCCAAAATCCCCAAATTTTATTTTCCTCCCTCTCAGGGCCAGCGCGGCCTCCGAGCCAACAACGAAGTTCACACAAAGTTTCCTGCCCTCCCACCCTCCGAGTTCCTGCCTCGGTTTCCATCCAGACCCCACAAATTTGGGGATGATTTGGGGCAAAATGGGTGCGGGAACAGCCGGGCAGAGAGAGGAGAGGGAGAAACAGGGGAGACATCGGCTGCCCCCCAAATCGCGGTGTTTGTCCTCTCCCCGCTCCATCCGGAAGGTGTGAGATGCTTTCATTCATTCCAGGGCATATTTGGGGATTTTTTGGGGTTCTCAGAGGTGTGTGTTTCCCCTTTTTCGGGGTGCGAGGATGGGCAGAGCCCCAGCTCCCGCCCCACCTTGGCCACCGGCCCCTTGGCGAGGGCCCCGCTGCTGATTTTCCCCTCCGCCCGACGTTTCCTGGATTCCTGGTGGGGAATTATTCTGCAATCTGGTGTTTGTGATCGCGGGGTGTAAACTCTGCGTCCTTCCCCCCTGGCAGCAGCCCCCGCACTCCACCTCCTGTTCTTCTCCCTTTTCCCCCCTCAAACTCAACCCCTTTTTCCTCCCCTTTCCTTTTTTTTTTTTTTTTATTCTTCTTTAAGAAGAAAAGACCCAGTCGTTAAAAGGAGAATAAAAAAGGTAAAAAAAAGGAGGAAAAAAAAGGGGAAAAAAGGAGGGAAAAAAGGGGGAAGCGGGCCTGGCTGAGCTGTAAAGTGAAAATGTGCGGGTGGTGGAATGCGGGCTGTAAAACGGGCCGAGGAACAGAGAGAGCCATAAAGGCTGAATGGGGATGACAACTCTATCTGCGCTGGGGATGGAATTCCTGCGGCGGGACCGCACCCCGGCCGCCGGCAAGGGGGGCTGCGAGGGCGGCACCCCCGGTTCTACACCCCGAATTGAGTTTTTCTGGGTTTAGCCTCAGCTGACCCCAGAACGCGCGGATTTTTTGGGGTTTTTTTTGGAGGTCTGCTGTGTTCCTTTCCAGCGCTGAAAGAGGAGTGAGCGAGGGGGGAGCTCCTTAAATCTAAAGCGGGATAAAAGCGCGGATGAAGTGTTTACGAGCAGAAATATTCGGTCTTTGATAAATCAGCTGTAAAGGCGGGTGAGTGATGGGGCAGGTAACGGGGAACGGTGAGCACCAAACCAGAGCGAGGGGAGCTCCGGCCTGCCCGGAGCGCCCTGCCCCGGCTCCCGCGCTGCTCTCCGGCGCCCCGCGCCCCACGCGGGTCCTCCGCGGGTTTTCCGCGGCCGCGGAGCGCGGATGATGCTCTGGAGGTGTGGATGGAAAAGGAGCTCAGGCTTTGTGTCCCTCACCCGCGCCCATCCCGGGCGGGGCAGCGGCGGCGCCTTCCTGGCCCTGCTCGGGAGTGAGGAGCCCCGGACACCGTGAGCGGCCCCACGAGGGACCAAGGGCACCGTGATCGGTCCCAGGAGTGACCAAGGGCACCGTGACCGGCCCCACGAGTGACCACGGGCATCCTGACCAACTCCAAGAGTGACCACGGGCACGGTGAGCGGCCCCACGAGTGACCATGGACACCGTGATCAGTCCCAGGAGTGACCACTGATACTGTGACCAGCGCCAGGAGTGACCGTGGGCATCCTGACCAACTCCGAGAGTGACCAAGGGCACCGTGACCGGCTCCAGGAGGGACCGTGGACACGGTGACTGACCCCAGGAGTGACCACTCATACAGTGACCAGTCCCAAGAGTGACCATTGGCATCCTGCCCAGCCCCACGAGCGACCACTCACACAGTGACCAGCCCCAGGAGTGACCACGGACACCCTGTCCAGCCCCAGGAGTGACCACAGGCACAGTGACCAGCCCCAGGAGTGACCACGGACATCCTGCCCAGCCCAATGAGTGACCACGGACACCCTGACCGGCCCCAGGAGTGACCACTGACACCCTGCCCAGCCCAATGAGTGACCACGGACACCCTGACCGGCCCCAGGAGTGACCACGGACACAGTGACCAGCCCCAGGAGTGACCACTGACACCCTGCCCAGCCCAATGAGTGACCACGGACACCCTGACCGGCCCCAGGAGTGACCACGGACACAGTGACCAGCCCCAGGAGTGACCACGGACACCCTGACCGGCCCCAGGAGTGACCGCGGGCACAGAACGGGTCCCAGCCCGGTCCCGGGGGCAGCGGGGGCCCCTCCCGGGCTGGGCAAAGCGATATTTATTAATGAAGGGAATATTTATTAATGAAGGGGATATTTATTAATGACAGGGACATTTACGAATCGTTAAGTGGCGTTAATGCCCCGGCACGGAGCACGGGGGGCACCGGAGGCTCCGGAGGGTCGGGACGGGCGCGGGGCCCCCCCGGAGCCCCCCAGCTCCCAAAGTGATTTCCAGAGGGGTTTGGGGACAGAACGCGCCCCCTTTACCCGACATCCATCCCTCCATTCCTCCATCCATCCCTCCATCCGTCCGTCCGTCCGTCCGTCCCGGTGCCGCCGGGCCGGCGCTGTCACCGCTCGCGGTTTCGCGGAACGGAGATTGGGGCGCTGCTCCACTGACCGGGACACCCCAAATAAACCCCCCGAGCCCTCGGAGCGCCCCCCGTGCCGAGTGTGACCCCCCCGGTCCATCTGTCCGTCGGCCCCGCTCCGGCCTGCGCGCACACAGCAGAAGGGGCTGGCCGTGATCCCTTCCCGGACAGACAGACAGACAGACAGACACGGCCGCGATGAATATTCACAGCCCGACGCGCGTTTATGGCTGCGACGGGGGACAGGAGGGGCTGGGGGTGCGCGGCTCTGCCCCCCCCCCTCCCCTCTATCCAACAGCGAAACGTCACCAAAGGAGTTGGGAACGACCCCCCCCCCACCACCACCCTCCCCATCCTCCTCCTCCTCCAGCGAACAACTCCCACTGCCCCCACCCCCAAACCCCCTCGGCGGGCCCTCCCCTCTCCCCTCTCCCCTCTCCCCTCTCCCCTCTCCCCGTACCTGTGCTCCGCATCCAGGGGTAGATTCGGAAGTTGCCGCCGTCCCCGGGCAGCTCGGGCTCCCCGCGCTCCGCTTTGCCGCAGCCCGGCTTGGCCGCGTCCCCCGCGCACATCGCGGGCAGGCTCTGCTCGAAGGCCGCGCAGGGCACGCCGAAGGAGCCCGGCTCCAGCCCGTAGCCCTGCGCGTACACGCTGGGGGGCTGCGGGTGCACCGAGCCGCCCCCCGAGTACAGCCCGGCCACGGAGGCGCCGAAGGGCGGCGCGGACGCGGCCCCATAGCCTGCGCGTTGGCCGCCGGAGGCGAAGGCGCACGAAGTTTGCTCGGGGAACACTCCGGACGGGAAAACCGAACTGGCGGCTTGATATTTAGAAAATAAAGCGTTGGCATAATACAATGAACTCATAATTTGGCCGGGTGATTTGTAGGTCGGGACGTTTTAGTGTCGGTTTTACGAGGTACCGTGATATATTAGGGAATTAGAGCCCAGATTTACACCGAAAAGGAGCCTTTTTCCTGCCGGCCCCGGTGACGCGCGGGCACGTGGCCGCGGCGGCGCCAATCGGCGCCCGCCCCCTCCTCGGGGGCGCGGGGCTGCGCGGCCGGGTTTATAAAATATGATAAATAATTGATGCCCTATAAAACCCCGCGCGAGCCCCGCTGCGAGGGGCGAGATCGCGCCGGAGTCGATAAGCAACCTGTAATCAGTTTTCGGCTCGGAGAGAGGGGAGAAAGGGCGGGGGGGAAATGGAAAAAATGGAAAAAAACCCAAGAAAATCCATGGAAAAGGGGAGGGGGTTGCGAGCACGCCGCTGCCGGAGCAGCGAGGCTCTCTCGGTCTCTCTCTGCCGGAGGAGAGCGAAGGGAGTTCTATTTATCCCTTTATCGATCCCGTCTGAATTTCCCCTCCTTCGCACCATTTCCTCGGCTCGCAGCTACTTTTTCTGCGGACTTGTCCATAATTCCCTCCCCTCCCCCCGTGACCCTCGCCCCCTCCTCCCCCCCCCCCCCAAAAAAAAAAAAAAAAAGAGAAAAAAGAGACAAATGTCTCATTGATCCCTAATAGTTCCAGGCGTCTTTTTTTTTTTTTTTTTTTTTTTTTTTTAATTTATTTTTTATGCCATTGAGCTCCGGATCTGATTTATCCCAGCTCCACGGGCTGGGCGCCGCGCACCGAGCCGGCATTCGCTGTTCTCGTCGGCGAAAATAAAGGAAATTAAAGCGCGCTGGGACGGCTCGTTCCGCGCGTCAGCGCTCCCGCGGGGCTCGGGGCCGGAGCTGCGCGGCTGCCCCCATTGAATCCACTGAAACCACCCAAAAACGCCATTTCGCTCCGTTTTTTAATTCTGTTTTTTATTCTGCGCGGCCGCGGCCGGGGCGGGACGGGGAGGGGGCGCACGGAGGAATCCCAAGGCAGGAAAAGCAGACAATGGTGTGCTCGCTCTCCTTCCCCAAGGTTACGAGCATCCATCCCCGGCCGCGGCTCAGCTGCGCCCCGCACAAAGCGAGCCCGGGAGCGCCCCGGGGCAGCGCGGCCGCAGAAAAAGGGGAAAAAGCCACAAAAACCCCAAAAAACGCCGCGAATTCACCGGAGGTTACCTGCAGCGGGGGCTCCAGGAGCTGTCACAGCCGGGAGGAAGAGGAGGAAGAGGAGGAAGAGGAGGAAGAGGAGGAAGAGGAGCAGGGCCCTTCCCCTCCCCGGCCCCAGCCCTGCCCGGCCGAGATTTTCTCCTTTTTGTCCGCGCACAAATTTTTGAGTTTTTATTTCCTTTTCTGCGCGGGAGGAAGCGGAGCGGGGGCTGAAAGAATGATGTCAAGGAATTCTCGCTCGTAAACTTTATTGTAACTTTTCTTCCGCCGCTTCCAGGTTTTAGACAATAGAACAAAGTGGTGAAAGAACAACAAAATATAGCATTAGTTCCCCCCAATAAAGTAATTCACGTATACAGTATACATTCTTTTTCACAGTTAACCTAAAGATCACTTTACAACTTGCTCCACTGTGCGCATGCTAACTAAAGGAGAGAAAAACGCTTTTTTTTTTTTTTGCTTTTTTTCTGCTTTTTTTTTTCCTTTTTTTTTTCCATATGGAAGAGACATTGAAAAATCGAGGAAAAAAAAAAAAAGGAAAAAAAAAAAAAAAAGCCGACTAACCGAGGCAAAGAAGAGGAGAGAGAAAGAGAGAGATAACTATAGCATAAATAGGCAGTTTCATGTTGTTGGGATGTTTGTCTCAATAGCTACCTCCAGCACGTACAGATAAAACCACAACAAAAACCAGGGCCGGGAAACGAACTAAAACTCAAATTAAAGCAACGACAACGACAACAAAAAATAAAAAAAACCAACCCAATAATAATAATAAAAAAGTGCACAAATGTAATATCACATAACTCCTCTAGCGCTGAAAGCTATGTTAACCAACCCACCCCCCACGCCCCCGGAAAGAAGAGAGAACAGCGAGAGAAGGACAGAGAGAGAGAGAGGAGAGAGAGGATTTCAGATTTCACAGTCATGTTTTACAGAAGCTATTGCGTTACACTACCGCTAGTTAATAACTGGCAAAAGGCGGCCGGGGCTCGCCGCGCCTCCCGCCTCCCGCTCATTGTACCGCGCTGCTCGCAGCGATTTTCTTTTACAGCAATAAAAGGGGTTGGGGTTTTTTTTGTGGGGTTTTTTTTTGTGGTTTTTTTTTTTCCCTTTTTATCTTTTCTACGCTTTGTTTTTCTGGATTGTTGTGTGTTTGTGTGTGTGTGTGTCCCCAGCCCTCCCTTACACCGACTGCCATTAACGGGGGGCTCGGGGGCTCCTCCACCCCGGCAGCGCTCGCCCCTTTTCAGTCCTCAAAAAAAACCCCCTTTACTTCTTGTCCGCCTTCTGCGCTTCCCCTTCCTCGTCCGCCTCCTGGGCCCTTTCCATTTTCTGCTTTTCCAGTTCCTCCTGCTCGCATTTGCTGCTGGGAAACTTGTCTTTGTTGTTCTCCTTTTTCCACTTCATCCTCCTGTTCTGGAACCAGATTTTGACCTGCCTCTCTGTCAAGCCCAGGGCGTGCGAGACCTCGATCCTCCGCTTGCGGGTCAGGTAGGGATTAAACAGGAATTCCTTCTCCAGCTCCAGCGTCTGGTAGCGGCTGTAGGTTTGCCTCCCCCTCCTGCGTCCGGCGGCTGCTGGGGGATGGACGGCGAAGGTTGCGGTGGGAGAAGGGGGGGAAAAGCAGAGAAGGAGCTTGAGAAAAAACACGAACCGGGCTCGGGGAGAGGCGGCGGCAGCGCCGGGGAGGGCAGGGAGGGAATTCCGAGTTCCAGGGGGGGAGATGGAGCCCCGGGAAGGGAAGGGAAAGGGGACGGAGAGGAGGGGAAAGGGGGGGGGTCGCGCTCAGCCCACCCCGGCAGCCCGGCCGGAGCTGCGCTTTGCACGCTGATTATCAACCCCAGCTGATTATCACCCCCGCCCCCCCCAAAAAAAACACCCCAAAAATTAAAATAAATGAAAACCTACAGCCCTGCTGAGAGCCCGGAGCGAGCGGCCAACAAAAACGAAGGGGCTTTTTTGAGGCTATAAAAGTGCCATAAACTTTAGGGGGACGCTTCCTCCCACAGAAAGCCCGGCTCGCTCAACCCCCAGAAGAAAAGCTCTCCTTCAGGGTAATTAAACTATAAAGCAATTTACAAGTGCAAAAGTTTACCCCCGCATAAAGCACTAAAATACCAAATAAAAGAGCCAGGGCAGCCAAAGAAAAGACGGGGTGGGGGGGGGGGGGGGGGGGGGGACAGAAAGAAAAGCAAAAAAATCCGACCAGAAAAGGCAGAGAAAGAAACGCAGAGGGGGCGGCCGCGGGGCCGGGGGCTCACCTTGCGGTCGCATCCAGGGGAAGAGCTGCGTGGGAGACGGGCTCTGCTCCGCGCCCTCCGCCTCCTCGGCCAGGCCGCCGGCCAGCTTGCAGTCCGCGTACTGCACCAGCTCGGGCTCCTGCGGCCCGAACAGGCTCTGCCGCTGCAGCGGCTCGTAGCCGTAGAAGTTGCCCGGCTCGCCATGGCACGCCACGGCGCACGGGTTCTGCTGGTACGGCGCGCCGGGCAGCGACGAGGCGCCGTGGTAGAAGTCCTGCAGCTGCGGCGGCGGCTGGAAGGTGCCCCCCGCGCCGGGGCCGTACACCACCGTGGGTCTGCCCCCCAGCTCCTGCGCGAAGCCGCAGTCGTAGTAGTTGGGGCGCAGCGAGTCGCCGGTTTTGTACTTGGAGAAGAGTGAGTTGACAAAATAGGAGCTCATTTTAATTTCAATCGCCGCGGTTTGGTTGTCTTTTTTTTTTTCTTTTTTTTTTTTTTTTTTTTTTTCTCCTCTTCCTCCTCTCTCTCCTCCTTTTTATTTATTTTTTTATTTTTTTTTTTAAGCAGCCGGAACAAAAAAAAAAAAAAAAAATTAAAAATATTCAAAAATTCGACCCCCGCAACAAACCAGACCGCGAGGATCTATTACGGCAAAAATATTTCTTTCCTCTTCTTTTTTTTTTTTTTTTTTTTTTTCCCCTCCTCTGAGCAGGCAGCAAAAAAAAAAAAAAAAAAATTAAAAAAATATTAAAAAAAAAAAATCACCCCCAACAACAAACGAGACCGCGAGAATCTATTAGCCAAAAAAAAGAAAGCGCTGAGATGCTAAGCAACGGCAGTTTGCGATTTCCAGGAATATAAAAGGAGGATATAATCAAAACTCTAAGCCTGCATGATATTGAATTCTTTTCCTCCCCCCCCCACCCCTAAAAAAAAAAAAAAAAAAAAAATCGCCACTTAAAGAGTTCTCGCTTTACATTTCCAAGAAGAGATGCCAGTTCATAAACAGTTTTCAGTGATTTACTTCGGCGCAAATGAGTTGTTTCATATTTTGCAGTGTCTTTTCATGATCATTTGCATCTATTACCGAAACCTCATCCTATTGGCTTCTCCTGGCTCCGCACGGACCCGGCACCGCATGATTGTGAGAGGAAGAGTGTGGGAGAATAAAGGAGGAAAAGCGAGCGAGGGGGAGCGAGAGGGAGGGCGCGGGGAAGGGAGAAGGAGGTGGGGTGAATATACGGATTAAATATGTTTAACTACCCCCATTAATGAGGTACCGCTCGCCTCACAACAAATCACGCGCCCGGACCACCCAAAAGATTGATTTTTTTGGGGGGAGTGCTGGAAAATTAAAGAGGAGCGCTCGCAGTCGTTAATTTCGAAATTTTAACGAGGCAGTTTTAGCCTTTTTAAATGTCAGGGTCGCTTTGGAAAACTGTAAAAGAACGCGATTTAATTGCTACCGGTTTTAAAAGGTCCTATAAATGTAATTGGTATTTTAATACAAGTTATCAAATCATACAGCTTCTTATCCTAAACATATTTTAAAACAAACGAGGTAGTCATATTTAACATTTTAATGATCAATTTCCTTATTATTGATAAAGGTTTAACTATCGCGTGAAGGGGAATTGCGTTTGTAATAGCCCCAAAAAAGGCCGTAAACTGTTTAACAAACTATAAAGCGCCATAAACCGGGGTGTTGTTGTTGTTTATGCCGCACTCCATAAAAGCCGCTCGGATTTTACGAGCGCGCTCCTCCGGCGCCATAAACGCGGAGCTTTGCGCGCCCGCGGAGGTGCCGATATCGAACCAAAACCATCGCGGTTTTCCATGCAGAACATCGGCTGTGCTGCCTCCTCCTCCTCCCCTTCCTCCTCCTCCTCCTCCTCCTCGCTGGGGATGGCTCAAAACTCCAAATTTGGGGCTCCCATCGCCCCCTCCCCTCCAGCGCCACCTCGCCCCCTCAACTTCCACTTCTTCATTTCGCCCTTCTCCGTTCCACCCTTTTCGTTTCATTTTTTAATTTCATTTTTAAAATTTCATTTTTTAAATTTCATTTTTAATTCCATTTTTAAATTTCATTTTTAATTCCATTTTTAATTCCATTTTTAATTCCATTTTTAATTCCATTTTTAATTCCATTTTAAATTCCATTTTCTAAATTTCTTTTTTTTCCCCCCCTTATTTTTTTTCTCCCAGGGTAAAACCCGGCGGGGAGAGAGGGGGAGAGAGAACGGAGAAATTTTCCCTTTTATTGGCGTTTGGCGAGCGCGGAGCCGGAGTTGCCCCTCGGATGCGGGCGCTGCAATTTCGCAGCGCCGGGAACACTCAGGGGGTAGATTTGGAAATTCATTTGGAAATTCATTTCTCGCGCTCAGCAAATATTGCCCAGGCGCTTTCCTCGGTTCATAACGGCGCGGACCCCCCCAGAGCCCCCCGCAATCCCAGACGGGTTTTCCAGCCTTTCCAGCCTCTCTTTTCCACCTCAATTTGGGTTTTTTCCCCCCGTTTTGCCCCGCCTGGGTTTGCGCTGTTTCCACATCTCCCTGTCCGAGCTGGGCTGGAGGCAAAAACCGAATTTTAGGAGGGTTCCGCTCCACTTGAGGCACAAAATTCAACCTCCGCAGCACGAAAAAGGAGGGAAAAGTTGAAATATTTCAGTTTTTCTACCTTGGTTTGAAAACAAATTTAAAAATCCTCAGTGGGGAGAGGCAGGGAGCGAAGGAAGGCAGAAAGGAAGGGGGGGGGGAAAAAAGACAGAAAACCAAGATAGCAACGGAATAAAACTTTTAGGGCATCCTTAGAGAAATAATTTAAGTAAATACGCTTCCTTTATTTTGCGCGGGGATAATTCCAGCCGAGCCTAAGAGCCTCTCGCAGTAATTATTGCTGCTGGAGCACTTGCGGCGCTATAATTAAAGCTTTTCTCGCCCCTCTAAAACGCGAGTTAACATTTTCTTTTTTCTCCCCACTTTTATTGCCGATCGAGCAGGTTTGGGTTTCATAAAATCATCAAAAAAAAGCCCCGAAAACGGTGCGGAGAAGCAAACAGAGCTTTGGAACCTGGAGATGCTGGAAAATCCAGGGGGGGGGAAAAAGAAAATAAAATGGAAACGGGATCGATGAAGTGAATTCGGGGCAGAAGTTTCTGCGCCCGAAGTTGGGGAAGGGCAAAAGGGGAGGAATTGGGGAATTTGGGCTGGGAAAGGAACATTTGGGCCAATTTCGGGAGGATTTGGGTGCCCAGCAAAGCCCAGAAATCAATGAGCTGATCCTAAATCATCGCGGCTCCCGATGAAAGGAAAATGTTTCCATTCCAAGGAAAAACCGAGCGGGAGCGCGGCGTGGGTGTCGGGCAGAGATAATTTATAAACACCCAGCGGAGGAAAAGATTTATTGGGAATTCATAAGGCAAAAAAAAAAAAAAAAAAAAAAAAAAAAAATTAATAGTAATAAAAAAAAATGGAAGAGCCTCAAATCCTTTCCTCGCTAAACCCCAAGTTTGCTCCGCTCTGCCTCTCGCCGAATGCACAGGGGCGAGATTTTTCTTCATTTCGCTCATTTATTTCTGTTTGCGCTCGTATTTCACGTCGCGGCGATGAAACGGAGCCTCGAGATGCCGAAACTTTGCCTCTCAAACCAAGATTTCCCACCCTGCGGGCTGGAATTGTTCCGCCCTCACCCAAAATCTCGATTTTTGGAGCGGTTTCTGGTGGAACTTGGGAGCAATTCTCGATCAGGGAAAAAAACCCCGTTTATGCCGATTTGAAAGAAAAACCCATCTTGAAATTATTGCCGCCGTTGGTAGCGGGAGAATTTACAACATCTGAGTAAATTTTTTTTGCCTCGTAATTCTGAGGAATCAAAGGCCGGAATCAAAGTGAGCTGGCGGAGTTAAAAGTTGCCATTATTGCCTCCGCATCGGGGGTGTATTTGTGTGCGCCCCAAACCCCGGTGGTTTAAGAGCATTTTGGGCTCATTTACTCGTTTGTGGCATTAAAAAAAAAAATATTTCTGAAGCTGTTAAAGTGAAGAATTCGAGCGAAGAGCGTCAGCAGCGCCAAAAGATGGGGCGGCCACGCCAGAAATGAGCGTTCAACTTCTGAAAGAAACAAATGCTCTTGTTTTGTTGCATGGTTGAGTTGGTTTTTTTATTTTATTTAATTTTTTTTTTTTTTATCCTGCGGTGGCTGGGATTATAAAACACATAAAATATCGAGCGGGGAAGGCGCAGATCATCCTAATGGCCGAGAGGAAAAATATTGTCCGGGCTCTGCGCGTCCCTTTCCCCCCGAAACCTTCTTTTTTCAACCCCGCACACGTAAATCTGCGGGCCTGGGGTAATTTCAGCTGTCCTCCCACCTCTGGAGCGGCACAAAACAAAACCCGGCGCTTTTTTATTCCCTCTTAAACGAACATTTAGCGGGGATGCGCGCCCCACCTCTCAGCGCAGCTCCGCCGCCGCGTTGCCGCGGTGTTTTTCCCCTTCCCAGCCTCACATAATTTAACTCGGATCAAAAAAAGAGAGGAGATGTAAGCCATAAACCGGGCGAAACAGCGCTAATTAACCCAATATTTTACCTAATGGGATCAAGGTGTTCGCGCCCGGGGGGCGCCTCTAGCGTGGAGCGACGGCGCCACCTCGCGGCCGCGAGCGGAACTGCAGGCGGAGCCTCCCCGGCGGGGGGAAAACCCAAAAAAAAGGGAAAAAAACATCAAAATCAAGAATTTCATCCTCGCCGGGAGGATAAAAAGGCTTCAAAAACACAAAAAGGAAAGGAGGAGAGGGAGGGAAAGAGGAGGAAAGCGAGAATGAGGGCTTTTTTTGAGAGAACTCGCTGGAGTTCTCTCAAAGCGCGGCAATAAAAAAATAAAATTTGAAGAGAAAAAAGAGGCGAAGTGGGCTCGCTTTTGAAACGCGCCATTGTTTCAGATTCCGAGACTAAACAATTGGTCATTCTGCTGCACGGCCGGGGCTGTAAAGTCATCAAGAGCTTCCCCAGCCCAGACGTCTCGCCAGAACTTGGAAAGGGCGAGCGCTGGGGGTGCCTTCTGTGCGCGCGTTGTTGTTGTTGTGTGCGGGCCTGGAATTGCTTTAAAGGGAGGGGGAAAAAAAAAAAAGGGGTTAAAAAAAAAGGAAAAAAAAAAAAAAAAGAACAAAGGGAATCGTCCCGAGCGCTGCATTTTCACGGCATCTGCAAGAGAAGAATAAGTTAGCCAAAGTCCCTCCCCGGCTTTTCTTTTGTTTTTTATCCCCAATTCTGATTTTTTTTTTTTTTTTGAGCAGCCCCTCCGTCACTGAAAAAAAAAAAAAGGAAAAAAGTAGAAAAATAAAATAAAAATAAAAATTAAAATTAAAAAAAATTAAAATAAAAATAAAGTAAAAAGAGGGGAAGCTGTTGAGGGGCAGCCCGAGCGCTTTTCCGCGCGGGGCTT